AGAGACAGAATTTTTAATATTTATTTTTTAGTTCTCGGCGGACACAACATCTTTGTTGGTATGTGGTGCTGAGGATCGAACCCGGGCTGCAAGCATGCCAGGCGAGTGCGCTACCGCTTGAGCCACATCCCCAGCCCTCTGTCTGGTTCTTTATCACCAGTTTGCTTCAAGCCCAAATGCCCAAGCCGCTCCCCCCCTTGCTCAAGGCCGAACACGTAACCCCCCTTGTGCCAACAAGGCAGCTTGCAGACCCAGAGACCTCATTAGATTTGGGCTATAAAAACTCCTGGGGGGGGGGCTCTCTCTTGCTATCTCTCTCTCCTCTGTTGCACTGCTGTAATAAAGATCTCTTGGTTGCTCTGGGTGTTGTGGTCACTTTTCTTTCAGGATCCTTCTTGCCTCAGACTCTAGAACCTTTGGGATTACAAGTGTGGGCCACCGCATCTGGGGGCTTTAACATCTTAAAAGGATGTTTTTACACTACTATTTCTATGCTCTCACAGCAACACTTCTTTCTTACCAAGATTACTAGTGACCAATGTTTTCACACATGGGAAAAGCACTGAAACAAAAACTGAAACACTGAAAGAAATAAGGTTTAGTCTTGGTTTGGCTATGATGTGACTAGGGTGATTTATCTACTAATTTTTCTGGAAGCTTTTCTTACATGTGAGACCAGGGTAGGTCCAGCTTCTGGAAGAAGTCAGGGTTTTGGTGCTTTCTCTGATGAATAATACAGAAGATTCAAAATCCTTAAAATTTGCATGTAGACATACTAAGGCCCCTTCTAAAACTAAATTCATATTTAAATGAAATTCAAATGGCATTTAGAGAATTACAATGAATTTGTTTACAATTTCCAGCACAGACTTTAAGTGTCTTTGAGAGTACTTGAAGAACTTGGTATTTGCATGCAAATACCAAGACTAGGGCTCAATGATAGGGAGGGTTGTGTTCCTGGACAGCTATTGAGGTCCAGAGCCCTGGTAGCCTCCTCCATCACAGACTGACTCCCCAGTATGCTGGCTTCCCTCCAAGTGAAGTCCCAGATGAACTAACAGTACAAACATGGGACTCAGTATAGGCCAAGGATAAACACTTTGGATTGCCTCTGAAAAGTGGATACAACTTCCTGCTTTATTTCCATTCCATACTACCTCACATCAAAACTTAACCAGAATGAGTACTTGACCAGCAATAAACAGGCTAACACACTTGATTAACAACCAAATTTACTGAGCATCCAAACTACAGAAATCATACATACGGAGCCTCTCTCTGCTTCTTAATAAGTCTAATTAAACACTTGCCTTTCATTCAAATCCAGACTAAAATTATAAGCACAAGTATAAGAGCCTAAATATGGTTAATTTGAAAAACAGAGTCTGGGTGAAAGTATAGCTTCAAAGGTAACAAGTGGTTCTACCAAGAAGGTGCCTGTGCATACCCCCTCCTGTGTAGCACATGCAAATTGAGCCAATGCATGCAAATACAAAGACTAGGGCACAAAAACAATGACACATTTCAATCAACACTCACCCTCTAGATTCTCCAGAAAGGAGCTGGACATGAGAGCTCACTGTGGTTAGGCCATTTCTCTGCTGAACCTGATGGCTGGTGTTCCAAGTCAGACATAAACTGCTCTGTGTCAAAGAAGACAAGATCACTACTGAATGGAACAAACCAGAGGGTGAACTTAATCCACTACAGTGCCCAGCCTGTTTTCTTCTATAATCAAGAGGAATTTACTTATCAACCAAAACTACATAAAATGGCTCCCCATACTTTATTAGATAATATAAATACTGGAGTCCAAATAGTTTAAGTAATGGATGATTTCTAATTAAAAAGGTAATAATTTAGTCAGGCATTGGGGCATATGCCTGTAATCTCAGCAGCTCAGGAGGCTCAGGAGAATCCTGAATTCAAGGTCTCATCAACTTAGGAAGGCCCTATCACAAAATATAAAAAGGGCTGGGGATGTGGCTCAGTGGTTAAGTACCCCTGGGTTATATCCCCAGTACAAAAAAAAAAAAAAAGGCAATAATTTAAAAGAGCTAAAATATTGCTTTTAGTGATCTTGAGGTATAAATTCAGTTTTAAATATAATAGTTTTTATAAAAGTATCAGCAATTCCTCAAACCTTCTGCTTTGGCCTATGAGGAATTACTTTTGGCCATTGTTGTATAACTTCAAACAAAAGAAACAAACTTTGGAAGAGAAAAATCTCTGTAAACACTAATTAGTACCCTCATCTTAAGCAGACAAAAGAAAAACAAAGGAGTTAATCTATGTAAAACTCATCAAATAAACAAAAAAAACCCAGAAATCCTTTGCTTAGGCAACATTTTTCTGTCTCAAGTTTTTTTATTATTAAATTTGAGAAATCACATAGTTTTCAGGGTTAATTTAAAGATTCCAGTAAGTGCAAAGTATTTTAGAGACTGAAAATATATATATTTATTCCCCCTCCCCCCAAAAGTATCCTCTCTAAGTGTGCCCATTCTCTACAATGGAATCCTCCAAAACAGACTTCAAAGTGTAAGACGTGATTCCACATAAATTATATGAAGGAAATGCAGGAACAAACTAATAGTCCAAAAGACACTAGTGGCTTTGGTGAACTGGCTAACTCAGTGGTAATTTCAGACGGTACTTTACGGAAATATGCAGTCTTTCAGACATCTTTATACTTCCTTGAAGCAGCAGTGACAGATCCAAAATATATCTCACTCACCTCTCCTGATCACAAAAACTTTGTCTAAACATTTATAGAAGAATTAACACCAATTCTTCAGAAACTTCCAAGAGATTAAAGAGGAGGAAACATTTCCTAACTCATCCCAAGGCCAGTATTACCCTGATGTCAAAACCAGACAAAGACATTACAAGAGATTCTGGAGTGTAGTTCAGTAGTAGAGTATTGTGCAAGGTCCTGGATTCAATTCCCAGCATTGCAAGGGTCAAGGGAAGAAAAAAAAAATCTTTTAAAAATACAGATGCAAAATTCCTTAACAAAAACTAGTCAAACTGAATTTAGCACCACTTTAAAAGAGTTATTCATCATGACCGAATGGGTCTTACTTTCAGAATGCAAGGATAATTTGACATATGAAAATCAATGTAATACATCACATTAATAGGATGAAAGAGAAAAAAACACAAGACGATCTCAACTGATGCAGAAAAGCATCTATCAAAATTCAATTCTCTTTAAGATAAAAACAACAAACTAGGCATAAAAAAAAATTTCCTCAACATGATAAAGGCTATGTAAGAAAAACCTTCAAGCTAACATATTCAACTGTGAAAGCCTGAAAGCTTTTCCCTCAACAAAGCAAGGATGCTCACTTTTGCCACTTCTATTCAACCTATACATGTAAAACTCTAAAGGATCCCCCTCACACAAAAATGTTAATAAGTTAACAAAGTTGCAGGATAAAAAAATCAACATAATTTCAATGAATAATCCAAATAATGGAATCAATTCCATTTATGATAGCAACAAAAGAAACACAATACTAAACAATTAACCAAGGAGGCAGGAGATTTCTAAAATGAAAACTACACAGATTAAAGAAACTAAAGAATGAAAAAAAAAAGGAAAATATCCCATGTTCATGGGTTGGAAGACTAATATTGTTACGATGACAGTACCATTCAAAGTGAGGTATAAATTCAATGCAATTCCTATCAAAGTCTATGACACATAGAAAAATCCACCCTGAAATTCACAGGGAATCTCAAAAAGCCAAAATGATACTGACAAAAATGAGCAAATTTGGAGGAGTCACAATTCCTGATTTTTAAAAAAAATTTACCTGTACTGGGAACCCAGGGTGCTCTACCCCTGAACTACATCCCCAGCAGTTTCTATTTTTTTATTTTGAAACAGGATCTCACTAAATTGCCCAGGCTAGCCTCAAACTTGCTACCTGCCTGCCTAAAATCCCAGCTACTCAAGAAGCTGGGCAGGAGGATTGGAAGGCCATCCTGGGCAACGTAGGGAGACCCTGTCTCAAAAATAAAAAATGCTGGGGAATGTAGCTCAGTGATAGACTACCTGTGGGTTCATATTTTATGGAATATTCTACTAACAAAACCTTCCAGAATAGTGTTGTATCTCAATGATAGAACATATGCATAGCATGTGAGAGACACTGGGTTCAAAATTCCAGAAACCTCGCCCCTGAAAATCATCCAAGGACTCTTTCATGTTACAGGAGAGCAATATATTCTATTGAATATACAAGATTCAATATTATATAGAAAAAGTAAAGTACAGAATAATATATAATATCCCAGTAGAAATGTGGAAAAATATAATCAACTTTATAAATACATAAAATAACTCTGGAGTGATAGCCAAAAAATTGGTTGTTTAATTCCAACTGTCCATATAGAGGACAACTGAGTACCTAGCAGAGAGATTTTTCACTATGTACCATACTATTTTAGCATCTGGAATCATATAAATGTATTAGTTATTAAAAATAATGATTATATCAATAACAGATAAAAATCTTACATTTCCCATTCCAGACAGGCATAGTGGCATATGCCTAAAATACCAGTGACTTAGGAGGCAGTGGCAAGAGAATCACAAGGTCCAAGCCACCCTGGATAACACATCAAGACCCTATCTCAAAAATTAAAAAGGGCTGGGGGTGAGGCTGGGGTTTTGACTCAGTGGTAGAGGACTTACCCTGTACACATGAGGCAATGGGTTTGATCCTCAGCACAGCACCACATAAAAATAAATAAATAAAATAAAGATATTGTGTCCATCTACAATATTAAAAATAAAAAGGGCTGCGGAAGCAACTAACTGGTAAAGCACCCCTGGGTTCAATCCCTAATACCAAAACAAATAACAACAAATCAATTTCAAAAGTATTTATAGATACTTTTAAATATACAATATGGTCTTCAGGGAATCTATCTGTTCCATATTCTCATAGAAGCTAAAATGCCTGCAACTATAACCATCAATCCTATCTTATTTTCCATCAGAAATTAAAGTTTCATGCTTTTCCTCTTGCCCAGATAAAAGGGATAATTCTACATTTGAGAAATGTTTTAAGGAAAAAAAAAAGAGTCAACTATCTTCAAACAGAGAAGAGCTGGTCTGGATATGTTTATCTAAGTCTATCAAAAGCTAAGATCCCTGGCAAGAGGTGCCAAGTCTGAGAACTGCCACAAATCACAGTTTAACTGATGAGCCTAAAATTAAATTATGATTCATTTGAAATATTTTTGTCCCTATGAATAATCTATCTTCAAAGAAACTTAAAAAGAGGACATGAATTTTAAAATAGAATAAGACACTGGCTTTAACCATCTAACATATGACAGGCTTTACAAAGTTACTAGGTTGTTGTGTTTACAGAGGCAAGATTATATAAAGTCATCAATCACAGCTCTTTTAGAAATCACTTAACATTTGAGACAATTTAAATTTCAGATAGACCTGGATTCAAATGTAAGTTTCAGTATTTGTGGTGTTTTAACAATATGCTAGTACTTAAGCTCCCTGAGCCAAGTCTATGAAAATAAAGCTAATAATTCACATTTCAAGAATTATTAGGAAGAATGTGCCTCTAGCAAAGTGCCTACCACATTACTCAATAAAATGGGAGTTTTATTATCAATAAATAGTAATTATAATTGATAATTTTTGTTTTGGTTTGTTTGGTACTAGGGAGTGAATGTAGGGGCACTTAACCACTGAGCCACATCCTAACTCTTTTTTCTTTTTTTTTTTTTTAAGTTTTGTTATTAGTTGTTCAAAACATTACATAGTTCTTGACATATCATATTTCATACATTTGATTCAAGTGGGTTATGAACTCCCATTTTTACCCCGTATACAGATTGCAGAATCACATCATTTACATATCCACTTTTTTACATACTGCCATACTAGGGTCTGTTGTGTTCTGTTGCCTTTCCTATCCTCTACTATCCCCCCTCCCCTCCCCTCCCATCTTCTCTCTTTACCCCATCTACTGTAATTCATTTCTCCCCCTTGTTTTTTTTTCCCCTTTCCCCTCACTTCCTCTTATATTTAATTTTGTTTAACAATGAGGGTCTCCTTCCATTTCCATGCAATTTCCCTTCTCTCTCCCTTTCCCTCCCACCTCTCGTCCCTGTTTAATGTTAATCATCTTCTCATGCTCTTCCTCCCTGCTCTGTTCTTACTTGTTCTCCTTATATCAAAGAAGACATTTGGCATTTGTTTTTTAGGGACTGGCTAGCTTCACTTAGCATAATCTGCTCTAACGCCATCCATTTCCCTGCAAATTCCATGATTTTGTCATTTTTTAGTGCAGAGTAATACTCCATTGTGTATAAATGACACATTTTTTTTTTTTATCCATTCATCTATTGAAGGGCATCTAGGTTGGTTCCACAGTCTAGCTATTTTGAATTGTGCTGCTATGAACATCTTTTAATGTCTTTAGGGAATAGTCCGAGAAGGGGAATAGCTGGGTCAAATGGTGGCTCCATTCCCAGCTTTCCAAGGAATTTCCATACTGCTTTCCAAATTGGCCGCACCAATTTGCAGTCCCACCAGCAATGTACAAATGTACCCTTTTTCCAACATCCTCACCAGCACTTGTTGTTGTTTGACTTCATAATG